TGTACAATGGTGCAACTGTATAAATGAAAAATGTTCACAAACAACGTGAAAAATTTAAGTTTCGAACTGATCTATTGACAAAGAAGCCACTGTGAATATATTTATATCAAGTATAAACGAATTAGAGTCTCCATGTGAATTTATATTTTATTATAAATTCATAAATTTGTAACTCTCCGTCCACAAAGAACAACAAATGTTTTATACAAAAGGCTCTTTTTTTAAGGGAGGGAATGTTAACTTGATTCCGTAACTAAAATGTGGCGGAACACAATTTTCATGAAGATATTTGTCACAATGTCTGTGTATTTTAAAATTACATTTTTTAAATCATGCTATTATGAGAGAGTGTCATGTAGATGCTGTTTTCTAAAGTCGTAAACGTTTAAGACCAGGGCCCCGTACCACAAAGCGATCTTGGCGCTAACTTGATCGTAACTCCCATACTTTAACATAGGCTTACGACAATCAATCGCTCTGTGGAACGAGCCCCCGTATCACTTCGGGCTTACCTCCCCAAAACTGGAATACTGTTCCGAGCAGAGTTAAACCCAACTCACTCATTTGCACCATAGCGAATACGAAGTGTGCCTGATTGGGGGGGGGGGGGGGGGGGGGGGGGGGGGTGTGTAAAGAATCTGAGACGGGCATACCATGTATTGCAATTGTTACAATGCCCGAAAACATCCCTGAAGTAAATATGCATGTACCTACACAGTTGTTAATCTCATTGCATCTTAAATAGATATGTACAATAAATGACGGACTGGACTGAAAGTGGGGAGAGGGGCACGGGTGGCCCAGTCGTCTAAGGCGCCGCGATTCGCTGTGCAGAGTTGCGTCCCTTTGGCACACCAGAAACCTATGATTGTTGGGTTCGAATCCCGGTTAGCCCCGATTATGTTTCTAGGTTTGTCAGCACCATACCCGTGCTCGTGGGTTGCACCGAAGTGGTAAACGTTTGAGACCTGCGTCACTTTGGGCTTTCCTCCCAAATTAAGCTGACACGCCGTGATGTAACTGGAATACTGTTAAAAGCGACGTTAAACCCATCTCACTCACTCACTCACTGGACTGATAGTATCTATGTTCCGTTATGGTGCTATTGGCGAGAGGACACAAACTGGTTCAACGTTCTTTACAAAGGTGCCAAAACGTCACCACCAGAGAATTATTTAAAAGTCATTTTTGCTTGTACGTTTGTATGCATGTACTACCACGTGGTAGTACGTTCACGATTTACTTTGAAACTTGAAATAATAATTATGAAATAAAAACGAGAAGAAAACATGTATTTTTTGCTTGAAATGCTTTTCAAGAGAACTGAGAAATGAGAAGACTCCCCCCTCCCCCAACAAAATGAGGAATATAAGAACAGAGAAAGAAAACCAACAAGATATGCTATAAATAAATAAATAAATAAATAAATAATTGCAACATGCATGGACACAGTCTCCATTTTTTGAGTGTTTGTGATTCTTTAGCATAAGGTAGAACTTATCAAAATAAACTCCAAGTAACACACCAAGGAAACATATGTTCTAAATGACAAAGCTTATAATGGACGAAAATAATCTCTCATTCCTTCGATTACCATACGTACATAATAGGTCTAAATTATGTCACTATAGGCCACCGTTCATTATTTCAAACGCAATGCGCTGGTAGCTAGGGTCAAAAGAGTTGCTTCCCCTTAACACGTTCTCAACAATAAGGTTCCATTTCATATGACTGTCGCGTACAACATTAGTTCGCTTGGAGTTGTTGACTGTTGGGCGAGCTGGGTTATACGCTGCATTTAGTAATACTTCAGCAATATCACGTCGCAATAATCAACAAAAAGAGGATCGGATGGTCATATTGTGTGACCTAGTTGATTGTATGTCATGGCGCCCTTGGGGCTTTGCTCATGCTAATACCAAATGGTTCATATGACCGAAACTCGTTTATCCATAGGCTGCCATATATTAATGGTATCGTTAACAGCGACGTAAAACTACATTCACTTTAGGTGGATTTCACACTGTTTACAGAAGCATACATATGTATGATAGATCAGTAAAACGAAAATAGTCGTTATACGGCTGGAATGATACCGATGCAACGTTGACCGCCTCCGTGGTCTAGTGGTAGAGCGTCCGCCCGGAGAGCGGAAGGTCCGGGGTTCGATCCCCGGCCGCGTCATACCAAAACTCGTTAAAAGATGGTACTTGTTGTTACCCTGTCTGGCGCTCGGCATTAATGGGCTAAAACAAGGACTGGTCGGCTCGGAGTCAGTATACTGTGTCTGAGTGGGGTATTCATGTTAAACTGCGGCATGGCATCTCAGTGAGCTAGCACTATAAATCGGCATCAGTCAGGACTAGTACAAGCAGCCACACAAACACATACACGTGCATGCAGGTCGCTATATTAAGTGCAATAATCTTGGACGCGACGTTAAACCCAATTTCACCTCACCCGATGCAACGTTAAATTTTAACTCACTCACTCAGAGAAAGTAGCATGACCCCTGATTATTTACCATCTAAATGTTTCGGTACCAGCTGGCACCGTCGTCTTTGGCGCCTCGTAACTGCTGTGCAGAGTTGCGTCCCATATGCGTGCCAGAAACCTATGATCGTGGGTTCGAATCCCGGTTCGCCTTGTTTGGGTTTCTAGGTTTGTCAGCACCATACCCGTGCTCGTTAATTTAATCAAAGAGGCAAACGACTGAGATCTGCATCACTTTGCGAATCACTTCATGTTGACGCGCTGTGATATGATTGAAATACTGTTCAAAGCGGCGTTAGACCAAACTCACTCACTCACGCTAATCGGTTTGCAACCCATATCAAGCGTTGTATTATTAGCATTTCTTATGCCTAAAAACGTTGTTTTATTACCATTACTTATGCCTAAAAGCGTTGTATTTTTACCATTACTTATGCCTAAAAGCGTTGTATTATTATCATTACTTATGCCTAAAAGCGTTGTATTATTATCATTACTTATGCCTAAAAGCGTTGTATTTTTACCATTACTTATGCCTAAAAGCGTTGTATTTTTACCATTACTTATGCCTAAAAGCGTTGTATTATTATCATTACTTATGCCTAAAAGCGTTGTATTATTAGCATTTCTTATGCCTAAAAACGTTGTATTATTAGCATTTCTTATGCCTAAAAACGTTGTTTTATTACCATTACTTATGCCTAAAAGCGTTGTATTATTAGCATTTCTTATGCCTAAAAACGTTGTTTTATTACCATTACTTATGCCTAAAAGCGTTGTATTATTAGCATTTCTTATGCCTAAAAACGTTGTTTTATTACCATTACTTATGCCTAAAAGCGTTGTATTATTAGCATTTCTTATGCCTAAAAACGTTGTTTTATTACCATTACTTATGCCTAAAAGCGTTGTATTATTATCATTACTTATGCCTAAAAGCGTTGTATTTTTATCATTACTCATGCCTAAAAGCGTTGTATTATTATCATTACTTATGCCTAAAAGCGTTGTATTATTATCATTACTTATGCCTAAAAGCGTTGTATTTTTATCATTACTTATGCCTAAAAGCGTTGTATTTTTATCATTACTTATGCCTAAAAGCGTTGTATTATTATCATTACTTATGCCTAAAAGCGTTGTATTATTACCATTACTTATGCCTAAAAGCGTTGTATTATTATCATTACTTATGCCTAAAAGCGTTGTATTATTATCATTACTTATGCCTAAAAGCGTTATATTATTATCATTACTTATGCCTAAAAGCGTTGTATTATTACCATTACTTATGCCTAAAAGCGTTGTATTATTACGATTACTTATGCCTAAAAGCCGGTAGATATCAACCGACAAGAAACAATAAACTAACATCGTAGATATACAGTTCAAGGCAAAATAAATCCTCATGGTGCTTGTGTAAGATCGGCCAAGTATAATGATCCGTTTGTGGTATAATTTGTGGCATAACTCTTCGTACACCGGTGGCGTTGATCGTTAGTGTGGATATAGACAACTGTGCTTTTTCTGGACAAGACACCATTATGTACAGCTGTAATATGCGGCGTATAACACTATTCTCTTGTTAACAAACGACCCGGCTTTTCAAGTTCTACCTAAACTGTGTCTGTGTCTAACCTTCAAAGATTCGGCCAAATCTGCCATAGTGATCCCCGGGTTAATATAAATATCATGACACAGCGAACTCCGATTGAAGTGCCGTAAAATCCCCACAGTGATAGCTGAGCGTGTAAGATTTTCGCAGTTCTCGCGGATTTATCAGAGAATGTGAGACAGTGTTGTTTAACGCCAGATCAGAGGTTTTTGATGCGCTAATGTACTGAAAATAATTACCCCACACCCTCCTTAATGTTTGTCACATTTTGGTTGACCCTCCCCATGTCCTTATACATTTTTTCATGACCCTCCCTGAAAAAAATAAATGCAAACGCACTTTATATTTTAGCATAAAATGTCCATTTTTTTTCATGACGCCCCCCAAATTAGTGTATTTTTTATATGCCTCCCTTAGAGACTGTCATAGTTTTAAAGTTCATAGTTTATAGAATCAAGATATGTGTTTTTGATGCCTAAAGAAATTGCAAGGGATTTATGTCAAAATAAAGGCCTCGGATGGTCGTCTGTTAAACCCAACACCGGATAAGCGAGGAAAGTCTGTGCGCGTGTCACCCTAGTGACACTGTTGTTAATTTCAAAACACAATATTCACGTTTTCCATGTGCGCGGCGGTCGCGATAAGATTGGACGTTTCCATTTAACACATTACGGGTGATGTTTACTATGCCAATTTGTATTGCTTTTTAAAAATGAAATTTATCGTGTTTAAGTTTTAGTAAGAACAACGATACAGATAGGGGTAAAAGAGACGTAAATGCCAGTTAATAAATCGTTATGAATGTATGATAAAAATGTCTATTATTTTCAAACATGTCCCCTCTATCTAAAATGGACCGTCCTAAGTAAATCCAATTGGGAGCAGCATTTAGTCTATGTAAACTCGTTAATGAAACAGGACGTTTCATGGTAGTCGATGAAATGACAGTTACGATGAAGAAAATACTCGTTTCAACAGGTTGTTGATCTAACATCGGGGACTATTCCAACGTTATGGAATATTCCAATATGTCAACGAGCAGACTAAATAATATGACAATGGACTTCGTTTTAAACAACACCTTTCAAAATGACATACAAATGCACGAACGGATAGCTGTTATTCTACGTCAACAAAAAATCAACATGACAGTCGAAGAATACCTTTCATCAATATCGTCCTTGACCGATTCGGCGGCGTCTGTGACAACAACGCATCCCGTCAACATCCATTACGTGAGTGAAGGCATTAGCTGGGGCGTCGTTGCACCGCTCATTCTGATTGGTCTGTTTCTGGTCGCCATAGCTTCCTGTTTGTACTGGCAATCGTGGAAAGAAAAACGGCGTATGCGTCACTTCATTGCCCAACAACGACCGCCTGACATGATGCCGAACGAGAGGTCGACCGAAACCGGAATGTCAATTAGATCAATTGAGTCACAGATATCACGTGGTTCTAGCACGTGCGAGAGAGTACCAGTTGTTCCTCTGCGACGTCAGAACTCAAAGTTCTTCTTGCGGTCTGAGGAAGAGACAAGGCCCGTGGCAACGTTGGCAAGAAAGTTGTCACCGATAGACGAGAGGTCTCACCACAGATCGGTGGATACCATGGTCACAGTGGCAGAGCGAAGTGATGACGATGGAGATGGACCACTGGTTCCAGCTATACAGGTGAGTTGGGGAACGCCAAAGACCAGCGGCACCGACAGCAGACTCGACGTTCTGAAAGGTTACGAGAATCCTTGCTTCTCTGCACCGGGGAAATTGGTTGGAAATGTGTACTGCGAGGAGTGCAACGCCATGAGCTCTCCCTATTTCCCAAACAACAACACCCCGACGACGGAGTACGACGTCGAGTCTGAGAAGAGTGGCAACGTTGCAGGAGCTATGGAACCTCACGATGCCGTTTATCCGTCAAAGGCGTACCACGCTAGACACGCCATGCCAACGCCTTTCGATGGAGCCGAAATATCATCTATCACTGTTCCCGAGAGCAGCCACGCTCAGGTGTTGAATAATGCACAGTCGTCATCAGGTAGTATGACCTCCAGCGGGACTCTCAGCCTCCCTAGCAGCATCTCACGTTTCCACGCCAGTCGCCATAACAACACCCCAAACTACCCTTTTGCCAGTACCCGGAACTGTTCCCCAATGCGACTCAACTTTACAGTGTCAAGCAGCATTGAGGTCTCTGACCACTACTCCGACAATACTTCAATGTATCCTTGTGTTGGAAGCAGTACGACTTCCATCGGAACCCAAGCAGCTTACAGAACCCCCCTTCACTCCATCAACAGCGACGACTTGAAGAACTACCATCTCGACCCAAGGTCGAGGTCCGTCAGTGCTCCCGAAACCCGTCGTGCCAGCGTCGAAATTGTTCCTGGATATAAAGCGTACAGCGTTGAAGTAGATTTGTTCCGGAGCATCAATGTCTCTGCTCAAACGTCTTCTGGAGCGCGGTCCCGCCTGTCGGCCTCAGTCTCGTGTTCTGTGGCAGGGGGCGTGGCCCACCACCCCACCCCTGTGTCGGCTGATGGGGCCCAGTGGGATACCAATTCCTCTATGGGAACGGACAAACAGGTGCTGGATGAGAACCAGAATGTTCATGGTTATGATCTGAGTGCTCTGCCTGGACGGAAGGTCAAGTTCACCGTACCTGTCCTTGACAAGAAGCAGTACTGGGTCTGATTACCGACCTGTTATGACGTTTGTTAATCAGTTGGTTCCTGTTTTGTTAAATTTGATCTTTATGCCGTTTACTTTGGTAAGTTTCTCATGAAGTCTATTATGTTATGTAACCATGTTGTACTTGACATTTGATTTATTCTTATAAAGCTAGTCAATCCATCAGTTGTGTTAACGTGTCTTTCCAGAGCACCTGGCATGGAGGCTCATGTGGGCTTGTATCGTGGCAAGTCGTCCATAAACGTTTTAATTGTTTTTCTTCTCCAAAACGATTAATTGGTCTGCTAACATTTTGTAGGGCTGTTTGCTACAATAAGGGGCTTCAAGCGTGTTCAAAACATCCAAATTGGAATTGCAATATGGTCGTTTCAGGTAGCCATCTTTGATTTATAACTACAAACAATCTTTTCAGAAATACTTTAAGGGCAAGAGACCTGAAACTTAGAGGGTGAGATGGTCACCTTGTGGAGTACCAAGTTTGTTCAACACATCTTTGTCGGAAGTCAAATATGGCTTCCTGTGGCCATATGGAACATACAAAACATCTCTTGAGTCGTCCCTTGGTTTACATATTCCCAGAAACCACTGCACAAATGAAGCTAAAACTTCACATTCATGTTCCCACCAATGAAGACAGTCGTATTTGCTATATGTATGCATGTACCCCAAAAGATAGAAATACATATGGTTACAGGTTAATGATATTAGGGGTGTATTGACTGATCCAACTTTTGATGAAGCGGTTGTCTATAAGACGACATACATATTGAAGTTGAAATATGTCGTTAGTTGACATCGAGACCAGGCTCGACTTTCTTCATGTACAGATTTGTCTATGTCGGTCTTTTAGAGGGTTACCTCCTATAGAGACCCGTGAAGATCCTGTAGAATAGGTCTTCAGCAACCCATGATTGCCGTAAAAGGCGACTTTGCTTGTAGGAGGCGACTAGAGGGATCGGTTGATATATGTCATCGTATCCCAATTGCGTGGATTGATGCTCATGATGTCAATCACTGGTTTGTCTAGTCTATACTCGATTATTTACAGACCGCCGTCATATAGCTTGAATATTGCTGAGTGCGGCGTTAAAAAACAATTAAACAAAGAAACAAACCCCTTTCACATATCTAATTTGGGCCATGGGATAGCCTAGAAGTCACGCCGGAATCCCGAGTTCGATTCGCCAACATGAAATATATTTCTGGTGTCGCCGCCGTGACGTTGAATATTGGCAAACGCAATGTAAAACCTTACTCACTCAGGCAGACCTGCATCACTTCGGGCTTTCTTCCTACATAAAGCTGACACGCGGGATGTAACTGGAATACTGTTCAAAAGCAGCGTTAAACCAACCACGCTAAATCAATGACTCGTGAAGATCCGGGTTAGAATAGGTCTTCAGCAACCCATGCTTGTCGTGAAAGGCGACTAACTGGATCGGGTAGCCAGGCTCGCTGACTTGGTTGATGCATGTCATCGTATCCAAATTGTGTGGATCGATGTTCATGATATCAATAACTGAATTGTCTGGTCCAAACTCGATTATTTACAGACCGCCGTCATATAGCTGGAATATTGCTGAGTGCAGCGTTAAACAACAAACCAACAAACCAACCCTGAAGTAAATACCCATGTACTTTACACGGCTGTTAGTCTGTTTGCATCGTCATTAGACATTCACAATACATTGTGCGGCTAGACGGAAGTAGCCGTTTTGGTGCTATTGGTGTGGGAGGACATAAACTGGTTCAACGTTGTTTTTGCAAGACTGCCCAAACGTCACCGTCAGAGAATAATCAGCCTCCTCGAATACACACACGTGTGTCTGAAGCTGTAAAGTTAAGCACCGCTTTCTACATAATTTCCATATGAAATAGACATTTTTTTATAAATAGTATGCTGTATTAAAATTCTGAAGAGACAGATGTTTCCCTTTTTAAAAAAAAAAAAATGACCTGTTCTCATTTTTAAGCATATTTATATACGCGAAACCGATTACCTAGCGACGTGTTTTGTAACTGTTTCATTTGCTTTGCGTCATATGATGTGCCCATCTGGCGGAACAAGTGTTCTTTTACCATCATTCCAGTATGAATCCGAGGTTGTTTTTTTACATATAATCAAATTAAGATCAATGACAACTGTTCGAACCTGTGGTCAAAGTCCCGTGTACACTTGATATTTCCCCAGTACCCCATGATATTAAGTGGATTACCGCTGAATAGTTGTGGGGTCTTTGGGATGGAGTAATAGCCTCCCTTGGACTATGTACGGCTTTTACAATCTAACAAGATGGACGAGAGTTCCTGGCGCACATCTAGGCAACGACTGCTGAAACTCTCATTGACGACTTTGTATTCATACGAAGTGCGGGGGCACGGGTGGCCCAGTGGTCCAAAGCGCCGCGATTCACTGTGCAGAGTTGCGTCCCTTGGGCACGCCAGAAACCTATGATTGTGGGTTCGAATCCCGGTTCGCCCCGATTATGATTCTAGGTTTGTCAGCACCATACCCGTGTTCGTGGTTTTCACCGAAGTGGTAAACGTCTGAGACCTGCATCACTTCGGGCTTTCATCCCACATTAAGCAGACACGCCGTGATATAACTGGAATAATGTTAAATGCAGCGTTAACCCAACTAACTCACTCACTCATACGAAGTGCGTGAATGTTGTTTGTTTGTTGTTTAACGCACTCAGCAACATTCCAGCTATATGACGGCGGTCTGTAAATAAAGTCTGGACCAGTATACAGTGAGTGATGTCATGAGCATCGATCCAAGCAATTGGGATACGATGACAAACATCAACCAAGTCAGCGAACTTGACCACCCGATCCCGTTAGTTGCGGCTACGGGAATAGGGGTTGCTTTTGTCCAATTCTAACCCGGATCATCAATGTTGTCCACTACAACAGCAACATTCCAGGTATGTGTTTAATCGAGGCTTGATCTGGCAAACCAGTGGTTGATAGCATAAGTAATGATGAAGACCACTGGGGCGCAATGCCATCCAATCAACCAGATCACACATTAGAACCACTCGATGGCTGTGTACGATTCATACCTCAAGTATTAGGTACTGGGGACCTTCTCTGAGTCAGAACACCCACAGGACTCCGGATGTTTGCACTCAGCAATATTCCAGCTATATGATGGCAGCCTGTGAATAATCGAGTCTGGAACAGACAATACAGTAATTGACATGGGCATATCTACCCGAGGCAAGGGAGTTAACTGACTATATAAGGCCAGTTTCCACTGGCCTTTTTGTCAGTTAACTTCCTTGCCTAGAGAAGTTGATATGAACATCGCCCACGCAATTGGAATACGATGACATGCATCAGCCAAGTCAGCGATTCTGACCACCCGATCACGTTAGTCGCCCGATTTCTCTTTACACTAGCATAAGTCGTCTATTACGGCAAACATGAGTTGCTGAAGACCTGTTCTACCCCGGATCTTCACGGTAGCTCTATCCCTGTTGAGTAGTGAATGTGTGAGTGAGAGTAACTATTTATCCCCCTACGGAGTCTGGATTTGAAGCGGTCCACACCAACCCATGCTGGTCGTTATTAATTGATCGGTTAGTCAGATTCAGTGACATGGTTGATGGTGAAAATCGCCACATAGAGTGGTGAGGGAGTGAGAGTCGTTCCTCATAGTATCAGTCAGTGGTTTGCCTGGTCCACGGTCGATAATATGTGTATTTACAGGCCGTGATCGTACCTAGCTGTTCCGAGTGCATGTTACTCAAGACACTCGGCACATACATTCATATGTGAACAAGAGTGAGTGAGTGAGTTGGGTTTAGTGCCGCTTTTAACATTATTCCAGTTATATGACGGCTTAATGTGGGAGGAAAGCCCGAATTGATGCAGGTCTCAGACGTTTACTACTTCGGTGTAATCCACGAGCACGGGTATGGTGCTGACAAACCTAGAAACAAGAAACGGGGCGAACCGGGATTCGAACCCACAATCATAGGTTTCGGGCGTGCCCAAGGGACGCAATTCTGCACAGCGAATCGCGGCGCCTTAGACGACTGGGCCACCCGTGCCCCCACGTGAACAAGAAATGTAACTACAACACTACACACAAGGATGATAAAGCTTTATTGCATACAGCATATATGAACCAAACAAACTCCCACAATTCATATGGACAGGACAAAAGACTTTCTAGGACTGATGAAAGGAACACTGGCAAACTGTCGCAGTAAACAGAGGCAATGTTACCCCACATTGCATTCTGAGACGCTGTTCGATGGGGGGACACACTTTTCTATGCTACCTAACAAACCTTTCAAATTCTGATGAAGCTTCGGCTTAAAGAGCTATGAATGGTAAAACCCTGATGCTTGTGGTGAAGGGTTTGTGTGATTTATTATTAGCATACACGTAACCTCGTTTCATTGAATATTAGTTCATGGATAGTTCTAAAGCCAAATTTGACTTAACGATCCCAGAAATCTTCACATTGGGTTATCCAAATATGTAACTGGTGTGCTCAACTAGAGTATTATGATCTATTTCATTATATCACAACCTGCTTACCCTTATCAAATAGCCAGCAGTCTTTTACACATTACAAGAAAGTATCTTAAAGTCATCAGAAGGGCATCTACAAACGGCGCCTCAGAAAGTAGTTTTATTTCCACTGCCCTTACCCATAAGGGTAGTACCAAGTCAAAGCTAAACACTGTTCACATCACAGTCAGATTCTATTATCCATGTGGTACGTAAGCTGGTCTGAACCCTTTTCTAAGAATATTTAAAAAGCCCATTGCTATCCCAAACCAGTAGTCTTCCTAAGGCATACAGTACATTGAATGAGGTTGGTATTAATACTGAATGGAACTTTGATTCCTCAAGTCCGAGTTTCATATTGTTCCCTAACACACCACTTACACAAATAGTTTTACCAATAGCAACTAGACACAGGAATCACATTATCCACACAAACTTTCAATAACAACATTACCCTAAGTTGAGAGCGTAGCTAAGTGAGTGAATGAGATTGGTTCATCCTTCCAGCATTTCTGTTATACCTCTACTGGAACATACCATTCCAGCTATAAAATTCTAGCATTTGCAGCAAAAACAATTGTCTATCTAGTGCAGTGATTTTATCATTAAACATCTGCCATCACCTAGT